TTTATTTGCATTCTTTCAGTTTTAAATTTATTTTGTCTTCTTTTTTTTTAATTCGTGTTTCTATTTCTGCCTTTTCAGCTTCAGTTTTTTCACTTCGCATCAGGATTTAACTTACTGTTGGAATTGAATTTTTCTGTACTTTTTTTTTAATCTTTTTTTACAGATTTTTTTTTATGAAATCTTTTTGAAAAATTTTTGAAATTCTTTACTGCTTTTTATTTGGAATCTTTAGAATAACAGGCACTTCATCAAACAATAATAAACACTAGATGTCGCTTCTAGAGAGAAAGAGATTTGATGGTTTTTGATAACAGAGTTAACCAAGAACAATACTCGAGAGCCACCAAAAGAAGAGGTATACTATTAAAACGCTTATGATGAATACGGCTTTTGAAAAAAAAAAATGGAAGTTGGCAGGAAGTGAAGATACGATAACAAAGAAAATAGATAACGTTTGTTCCTTGACTTGAGGTTAAAGGGCTTAGAGAAGCATCCAAGCGGGAGTTTGTTCGAGAAATAATCAGTTCACGGTTAAAATAAAATAGAAATAAAAGATAAACTCTCGGCATTATCATGAAGGAGAACACTATTTGTCAGACGTGGACACTCATGTTCGGAAAAAAAAACCGAAACGAAAATGAAAGAACGGTTTTTCTCTGGACATCACTATTATTTTCTTTAAAACTAGGAAAGGTTTTAGACTGTGAAACTGAAGCTATCTATGTTTATTTGTGGGTAAATAGAAGGACAGACGGGGTTCTATAGTCTTGGATGGCAACCGGTCTAGGAGAAAGTAACTTTGAATTCAAAACTGTATGTAGCCCAGGCGTAGCGTATACGATACAACAAAGGATAGGATCGTTCTTATTGGCTCGATGATACCGAATGCGTTCGACAAATGATGATAATATAATCAACAAGAAAATTAAATTTATATATATGGTTGGCGATGGCTTTTTCGAAATTAAGTTTTATGGAAAATGGGAACGACAATGGACATTTATACCTACATTCACTGAGTTCGATCTATTTCTGACTCCTGCGCCTGCACCTCATCTTTCTCTCTCTCATTCTCTCTCTCTCTCTCTCTCACTCACTCACTCACTCTCTCACTCATTCATACCTCTAAAAATTGGATAAAAAATGATTGCTCTTGATATTCTTTTACGTATTGTGTCCCTTCAGGACGTGGGCGATCATAGTTCTCCACAACTTCCTACCCTTTGTAACTAACAATATTTGTCCTTTTAATATCCATGCCAACCCCGTTTCTGACAGCTATTTACACAAAGTCATTAGTTAGGATACTCGCTCTTTCCTTCTCCCACGCGTATATCTTGTGAGTGTTAAATTCTCCAAACATTCTTTTCTCGTTATGTTTCCCAGAAATTTATCTCTCTCTTTCTGATTCTGTGTATAATCATGCATTTTCTTTAAAATTAGGAAAGGTTTTAGAGTGTGATACTGAAGCTATCCATATTTATCATTGGGTAAATAGCAGAACAGACTGGGTTCTATAGCCTTGGATGGCAACGTGTCTAAGTGAAGATAACCCTGAATTCAAAACTGCATGTATTCCAGGCGTAGCGTAAACGATACATCTAAAGAAAGGATTGTTCGTATTGGCTAAATGATCTCGACTGCAGTCGACAAATGATGATGATATAATCAAGAAAAAAAAAATTAAATTAATATGTGTTTTGCGATCCCTTTTTCGTAAATAAGCTTTATGGAAAATGGGAACAAAAATGGAAATTTATACTTACAATCAGAAAGAGACTGTTTCAATTTTTGTGACATATAATGAAGAAAGAGGGTTTGGAGAATTTAACATTCACAGGCTATATTGAAAGCAAGGGACTGAAGGAAAGAAGGAGTAGCGTCAAATATCCTAACGTGTTTGTGTAAAGAGTTGGCAATGAGGGGATTAGGAGAGATAGTAAAGAGAAACCATTGATCAGTGTTACATAGGACGCTGTGGAGAGACATCATCGGCTATTAAAAGCTGATGGCATTCGTAAAAAAAAACAAGAGTAAAAAGGACGTTTTTTTTTCTAATGAGACCGCTATTATTTTAACTACCTTCACTTTTCGGTAATTTTTAATTTTTTAAAAGCGCAAATTAGAAATGTAATAAAAACTAAACACATGAAAATGAATTTATGCATTTCCTTTGTCATTGAGAATTAACAACAAAACTCATAAACACTATATATATATATATATATATATATATGTATATAAATAAAAAGAAAGAACAGTAAGATATAAAATCCGGTGTTCTTATAGATATTTTATTTTTACAAAATAGTGCTCAATGTAAATTTACAGAGCATTAAAAAATTCGCTTGAAGATGAAATAGAACTAATGCTTTTAATTTATTTGCAAAAATAAAATTAGGGGTTTTTAGCTTCTATTTTTGAAACATGGTTGGAACTGTGTAGCGAAAATAACCATATTTTAAATCAATTAATTTATAATATATATATATATATATATATATATATATATTGTTTATATGAAGAAATATAGTCTTAAGATGTGCTATATTTATGAGATAAAGTGCTCAATATCAGATACTGAGCACTTTATCCCATAAATATACCACATCTTAAGACAATATTTTCTTCATATTCAACTCCATTTATAACACAGTATAGACATAGAAGAATTTAGCAAAAACCCCTTGTCTGGTTGAATTGGATTTCTCTGTATCCTTGGAAACGTGAACTATGATTTTTGCTGTGTCTTTAAAATCCAGTAATTTTAAAAGTTACTCCAAAATTTGCTTGATGATGAAATGGAACTAATGTCTTTACTTTAATTACAAAATTAAATTCTGACCTTTCAGCTTCCATTTTTGAAAAATGGTTAGAACTGTGTAGCGAAAAAAAACATATTTTAAATCAATTAATTTATAATATTAATGCTCTGTAAATTTACATCGAGCACTATTTTGTAAAAATAGAAATATCTATAAGAATACCGGATTATATATCTTACTGTTCTATATATATATATATATATATATATATATATATATATATATATATAGCCATTCGTATTCGAGGATAACCGTCTACAAATGCGCCTAGCCAATCCCTATTACAGACGCTTGTTCAGGCACATTTGTGCTTATTCAACACCCAAAGTGCCACCCTGTGGTTTATACTGCAATTATACCGAGCAGATCTTAGTTACAGTTTCTGGCAACGAGCGTGTTAAGCAGCGTGATCAACAATTTGAACGAAGCCAGCACGCTCAATTTCACTCACAAGGCTTGGGTCAACACGTGGTATCTTTTTTCGGACATTTTATGTAACCTAATTGCCAATGTAGTACTGGACATAAATTCGTGAAGTCGAGCTTTCAACAAGTAAGGCTACTCAGAAGAATTACTATGAAAATATTTGCAAAGTTGGACATTCAGGCCCACAAAAATACGAAGTATCAAAAGGAAGATTTTTCTCTTGACACCGCTATTATTTTAAAAAGCGAAGATTAGAATAATAAATAAAAACTTAAGTAAATTCAAACATTTTTTCTTGTTCTCAACAAGATTAAATACTATTTATTCATTTACATAAATAATTTTATATTTACTACATTATAAAAACTAATTCAATTGTATTGAAGCTAATACAATGCAGTATTTATCATTTACCGATTTATAAAGAAAAATATTTGAAAACAATTTTTTATTTATAAACATTTACTAAATTATTAAAATATGTGAACCAACTATAAGGAAATCCTTATTATTTACCATTTTATAAAGTTCGAATCAATTGAAAGTTAGCTGATGTTTTGCTAACCATTCAATAAATAAAGGTATGAGTCGTCTTCTTCTCCCCCAGCTATGGGTAAATTGCAGGACAGACTGGATTGTATACCCTTGGATGACAACAGGTTTAGAAGAAGGAAAACTGAATGCAAACCGACCTGGAGAGGGTTCGGCTCCGTCCGGCTATATTGCCCAAGGGGCACCACTTCTACTGCGGTTGCAATAAATGTGGTGCCCCTACATGCCTGATGGGTCACGGGACTCACGATCACGCGATCCAATGAATGATATAATAAATATAATATAGTAAATAAAGAAGTAATAAATAGAGTTTTTTTTTCGTCAATTGTCAAGAAAAATTGTATAAATTCAATTTCATGTTTATGTTTATTACAATTCTAATTATGTTTTTCAAAGAAAATATTGCCGAGGTGTGAACGTAGTTAAAATAATACCGTTTCAATAGAAAAAAACGTATATATCAATTGCTTTAGTTCAGTCAAATTAAGATTTGTTGTCTGGCATCTTTCTCTTAAAGTAAAATTTCCAAAATAAATTGGATGTTTAAACACATGCTTATTTCTAATTTTCAAAAGAATGACTCTTTCAGAAATGTCAACATGAGTTACTTTCACTTTCACTTTCGCTCTTTCAATGATTTCTCCTTTCATAATTCTAATTTCGTCAGTATATTCTTAAAGTCGGTTCTTTCCTGATCCATTTCAATTATATTTTCATTTACCACATTCCCAAATTCATTCGATTTATCAAGGCTTACCAGGGAGGGTGGGGCCCACATCAGACAAATTGGTGCTCTCGCCTTCAACTTCAGTTGTTTTTTTGTCTATTTCCTGAATATTCCTTTGTTTATTGCATTGTCTAATTTTGTACTCAACTCTTTATTTAATTGCTATTCATTCAGCATCTGTGAAGTACTTTTCTTTCATGATGTATGTTAATTTTACGGACGTTACCAGATTTTATTTCATTCTTCTTCTGAACGTCATCCAAAAATAGGTATTTTCTGGTCTCATTATTTTTACATTTTCCACATTGAACTTCCTTATGTGTTTATTTGATGACGCAAGTTTCTTCCTTTTCTGGTTTATTTCACACTTTGAACTGAAGAGCTTTTACAGCTGTATATATCAACTGGTTTAGTTCAGTCAAATTAAGATTTGTTGCCTTTCCTTTAAAGTAAGATTTATAACATAA